CACCAGTTTCAAAACTGGAGTCTCCCCATTCCTCTACGTGTAATGATCAATCATCATTATTTTAACTATCTGTCCAGCCCCCTGAAAACCATCTCTGATAATCCTACTCTCACCAACAAGTAACAAATCACAATTCTGTCACTCACAGGCCCTTTGCTCAGCGCTGAACACTATTCTCACGTACAGTGACACGTCACCATGGATACTCATGATTCACCACGCATCGATAAACGTAATTCAACGTAGTTTAATGACAGCAATTCTGCGATTCTGCGATTCGGAGCTCGCGCAGGACGTGGCGGAAAACATTGAACAAGAAAGGAGCAGAAATTAGGCACACAATGAGAGATAATTCTGGTGTGTATTAAGAGGCGTAATAAGGATGACACCGCACGAGATGCTGTCTGTTGCACTAGCAGCTCTTTGTTCCTTCAATAAAAACGCGAGTTTCGAGGAGAACTACCGGCGCACGCTCTGCCTGGCGGAACGTTAACAGCGTAGCGTATTGATCCACTTTCACTGTCCTTTCTCTCTATGGCTCTTTCTCTCCCTCTCCTCTCGCTATAGCTTTCCTTGTTCCACTTTCGTGCCGTGTTTCATGCGTCACTGTTCCTCTAATCGCAGACAGGTAGTCTCCATTTCCTGATTGGAGAGTGGAGGAAACAAAAATTGGTCTTCAGAGTCTTCGTTGGACCAATCTTTGTCCCTTGGCCTTTTGGCTGTCTCTTTTATTTTATTTCCACGCATTTTAATTTTGTTCTCTCACAGAGAATTTGGAAATGTTATTCTTTAATTGATTAACAGATCAAACAGATCTTCCATGTCATTTGCTTTTCATCCTTCTTGATTTGAACTTCAAATTTAATTCGCAACATCTAAGTGAAGAAAGAAGGGAAAAAGAAATAGAGAAGAAAGTGACAACTGACAAATACAATAGAACCATTTAATATATCTCTCTTCTTATGTACAAATAGTTTATCTAGAACTGTAGAGGCATGCTTATAAAATATATTCGTATGTATTCTTAGCTACTTAAATATCCAAGACGAAGAAACAAAGTACAGATCCGCAGTCAAGTGAGAGAATGATTTTTCATCTCCACGATATAAAAAAAAAAAAAA